AAAAAAAAAAAAAGACTGATAGATGCCTACAGCTCCTTCTGGGGAGATGTCATTCACCATTATGACCAATGTGGACACAAAGCCCAACACAAAAAGTTCTTGGGCTTCTGGAATCAGCTCTTTTAAATTTTGTTGGTCACTTTTCTCAAAAGGAAAGCCTCACCACAAGCAGCCTGTATCATCTCCTTGTACAGAGCAGGGAACTGAGACATACACAAAGAATTTAAGAAATGAGTCATCCACTAGCACTGGTGATATCAGCAAAATGACAGAGTGGACAGCTCTAAACTCCTGTCCCTCCACAGAAATATTGACAAACAAGCAGCAACTGTCAGAACTAACTTTGCTAGAACTCTCAAAAGAGTCAAAGGTTTACAAAAAGCAAGCAAATGCTGAATCAACAAAAAGGCAACTTAAAAATGGTAGGAAAGCTTTGTGGCATTTTTACTTGCTCTTGCCACACCCCTTGCCTGACTCAGCAGCAGTCTTGAAGTCAGCAGCCTATATTCCCAGTGTGGGACCCTGGTCTCTGGTTCTTGAGGGAACAGAGCAGACCTTATGCACAAATTATTGTGTTTGTCTGTCCTAAACTGAGGGCTAACCAAAGGACTGATGCAAAGTGCTGTCTCTCATTTGCCTAATTTGGAACCCATTCAGAGAGGTAAAGTGACAAGCATTGCTCAAAAGCGTTGTAAGGCAAACCAAAAACATGCAGTGGGCAAAAGATTAAGGTTGAGACATACAATAGACTGCCTAAGGCCTGGGAGGAAAAGCAAGGGAGAGTCTCTTTAGGAAATTAGGGCAATTCAAAAGTGTTTGTGTATACTAGGAAGTTTAGAAAGCAACATGCATGCCTAGGACAGGACACATGTTCAGAAAGACCTGGGAAGAACCTAAGCTTTCTCCACTGGCTGATCTCTAGGTTCATTGCAAGGAGGAAGGGAGGGCTGATGAAGAGTTTTAAATGGCCCCAGGACAGAGCCAATCTGCAAAGAAATAGGAGAGGTGGGCTTTTTTGTTTGTTTTGTTTTGTTTAGCTCTTGGCATTCAAGGAAATCTCTGTCAAAACACTAATTGAACACAAGCTAAACCTTCAACAATTAAGAAGAGCAAGCGTTGGGGAAAGGGAAGAATGTGACTTCCAGAGTTAACACATCATAATATACAAATGTCCAATTTTCAACAACAACAAAAAAGTCACAAAACATAAAAGAAACAGGAAAGTATCATCCATTCAAAGGAAAAAATAAATTGACAAAACTGTCCAAGAGGAAGCCCAGACGTTGGATTTACTAGACAAAAACTTTAAAACAACTATTTTAAATATACTCAAAGAATGAAAAGAAACCAAGGACAAGAACTAAAGGAAACCAGGGACACAATGTATGAACAAAATGAGAATATCAATAAAGAGATAGAAATTATAAAAAGGAACCAAATAGAAATTACGCATCGGAGAAGTACAATAGCTGAAATAAGAAATTCACTAGAGGGATTCAACAGCAGATTTGAGCAGGCAGAAGAAAGAATTAGTGAACTTGAAGATAGAACAATTGAAATTCTCCAGTTTGAGGAGTATGAATGAAAAAAGAATGAAGAAAAACGAACAAAGACTAAGGTACCTATGGGATACCATCAAGCAGATCAATGTATGCATTATGGGAGCTCCAGAATGAGAAGAGAGAGAGAGGAGGGCAGAAAGAATATTTGAATGGCTGAAAACTTCTCAAATTTGATCAAAGACATGAATCTACACATCCAAGACATTCAACACACTCCAAGCAGGATAACTCACATGGATCTATACTGAGACACATTATAGTCAGATTGTCAAAAGACAAAGAAAAGTTTCCAGTTCCTCGAAAAGTTAGACATAGAACTAGCATATGGCCCAGCAATTCCACTCCCAGGTATATATCCAAAAGAATTGAAAGCAGGGACTCATATAGATATTTGTATACCAATGTTCGTAGCAGCATTATTCACAAGGGCCAAAAGGGGGAAACAACCTATGTATCCATGAACAGATGAAAGGATAAACAAAATGTGCTATATACATACAATGGAATATTATTCAGCCATAAAAAGGAATGGAGTTCTGATACATGTTACAACATGAATGAACCTTGAAAACGTTATGCTAAATGAGATAAGCCAGGCACAAAAAGACAAATATAGAATGATTCCACTTATATGAAATATCTAGAATAGGCAAATTAATAAAAACAGAAAGTAGGTTAGAGGTTATCAGGGACTGGGAGAAGGGAGGAATGGGGAGTTATTCAATGGGTATAGAGTTTCTGTTTGGGTGATCAAAGGGTTCTGGAAATGGATAGTGCTGATGGTTGTACAACATTGTGAATGTAATTAATGCCACTGAATTGTACATTTAAAATGGCTTAAATAGCTAATTTTATGTTACATATATTTTACCATCATAAAAAATTTTTAAAGACTAATAAATTGTACTTTATAAAAATTTAAAAATAAAATTAATAAAATAAAAGTACCTGGCAATTTTGAGATACTTAAATACTTGAATGAATTTCTTGAATTCCTACTCTAGGAATTAGTGTTACATCTCATTTTACAGAGACAAAACAGGTCTAAGCAACTGGCTGGCTGAAGTTGGCTGGCTAAGCAACCTCAATAGTTGTAAATATGATCAGTATTTGGTTGTCTATCCATGGAATAGGCACAATTTTTCCTAGAGATGATCCAACTCATGGGCTAGAGGTCTTCCCCATCTGACTCCTAAATTTACAGTTTATTCAGGAGTTTCTCATGTAACATTGTGGAGCAAAGGAACTTAACAGCTACAGCTATTGAGAGAAGGTAATTGTCATATTATTCTTGCTAGAAAGAGGCATTGTTGTGTTATCAGGTTCCAGATTTTCACTTTCTGTCCTCAATCTCTTATCCCTCTTATACATTATAATGATTTATTAAAAATATGTATATAAAATTCCAAATCACTTCTTGGTTTTTAGATAAATCCATATATTAAATACCCAGTTATCTCTTTGCTATCAACATAATAATGTATCTCCATCATGACATTGGCCATCATCACGTGTTCAAATCTAAAAAATTAAAGTTTAACAGGTTTTACTCATTTGAGCGTTACTTCATCTAATAACAAAGTAATAGTAAGCATGAGCGTTATTTAATGGTAGCATGAGCTTCAGGGAAGTTTCTCTCAAGGTGGTTGTGAGCTGATTTCTTTCTCCATTTCAATAAAAGCAGAACTATTAAAGCGGTGTTATGAAAGATCATCTTTAAAAGAATTATTAAACTGAACTGAGCCCCCAGCAAATGAATTTGGTACAAGATGATATAAAAGACAGGTAAGGGCCTCTGCCCTCAGGGAGACTATAACCTGGAGAGCAGGGAAGACATAGGTATCACATGCTCAGTATGATTCATAAACGAGGTGACAACTAAGTGCTCCATGATTCTGAAAAAAGAGATATTGAGGCTCCAACCACAAGTATGATGGATGGAGGCTTGGAGCGATTCTAGGGTCTGGAACAGCTGAAGCTCAATTTTAGTGGTTCCCCCTACACGCCAGTTGCTGGAACCTGCCATTTCTAGGACAGGAAAATTCTTGTCACTGCTTCCACGTGACAAAATGGGACCACTTTCAAAGAGAAGGTTCCTACTCCTAGTCTTCTTGGGCACCGTTCTGCTGCCTCCACCCAAGGGCAAAAAGAGAGAGGCTTCCTCCAAGATTGCCTCACGGGGTCAGAGTCACCTCCATGTCCTGCCCTGGCTGCCCCCTTTTCCAGGGGCCTGCCTGAGCACACCCCAGAGGAATCCTAGGGGATTTTGAGAAGGAGCACCTGACTGGTTGATAAACACCTGTTTTCCTCAGGTTCCACCTGAATTTAATTTGTTGAGGGCACAACTCCTTTAGTTGGCTCTCAATGTTCTTCTTTTTAAATATAAATATTCCTTGGAGAGAGGTAAAACAGTCAATGACTTCACACTAAGGAAACTCCCTAGGCTTATCAGATCTGCTTTTCTCTACGAGTGGCTTAGGAGGTCCACGTTTCTGGTTGCTGCAATAGACAAAGTGTAGAATGGGGGCCAGGGACTCCAGCTTCTCCTACTTCCCAGCTGTGCGTGAGGTTGATTCAGACCCTTGTCAGAGCCATCAGTACGCTGTCCTTAACAACTAGAGTGCATTTTCTGAGTGTTTTCTTAGCTCAGAGCTGTGCCTAATGTCAAAACTGCACTCATAGACTCGAGAGGCCTGACAGTCCTACAGCCTTTCTCCAGTCGTCTGGTCCGTGACCTCACCACAGACCTGGAGGAAAGGGGATCCAGACGATCTCTGGAAAAGCCTGAGAATAGTTCCTTTGCCTCAGTGATTTTATAACTTATCTTTAGTTCCCTGTTTCTGTTGTAAATAATTCACCTCTTTTATAAGAGAGATAAGGCCAGGCCTTGTGAGCCAGGAGAGATTTGAGAGATACTGAAAGCTATGTGTTTTAGCCATGACCCAAGATCTCTGGCAAGCTGCCCCACCTGAGCTGGGCTCCTGCCTTGATTTCCTGGACGCAGAGATATCTGTCTTTACAGAAAGGTCTACTTTTTTTTTAAGATTTTATTTTTTTTAGAGCAATTCACAACAAAATTGAGAGGAAGGTACAGAGGTTCTCCACATACTCTCTTCCCCCACACATGCCATCCTTCCCATGATCAACATCCCCCACCAGAGTGGTACATTTGTTACAATCAATGAACCTCCACTGACACATCATGGTCACCCAACGTCCATGGTTTACATTAAAGTTCACTCTTGGTGGTGTACATTCTGTGGATTTGGATAAATGTATAATGACATGTACCCACCACTATAGTATCATACAAGGGTATTTTACTGCCCTAAAAATCCTCTGTGCTCCCAGAAAGGCTTACTTTTAATCTTGGAAATAAAGTTTCCTGGAGTGAGCTCCTAACTCTTTTCAGCCTTCCCAACCCCTGTGGCTATGGTCATGGCCTTCTGGTCACAGCTTCTCAGGGTACCAGAGGTGCCACCAGGCCCAGCATGTAGCCCCCAGGGCCCACTAGACAGGCTGCTTCCACTGGGACCTGAATCCGGTATTTCACTTATCCTAAAAATCCCAACCAGTGGGATTTATAATCCAGTGCTTCCCAGCCCTAGTAGCATCCTCGGTGGACATTCGGAAACTTGACTGAAAGAAAGCAGCCCCTTGACCACAGGTCCCAGTCACCACTGCTGGCTGAAGGTTGCTAGCAGTGAGCTGTGTGAGCCATCTTATTTTCTGCCTTTGGTTGGGAAGAGTAAGACAAGCAACCACTTGAGAAGCGTTGACCCCTAGGAAATCCCAGACTCAAATCCTCCTTACCCCTGCGAGGGGCAGCTGGAGTGGGAGAGAAGAAACCAGTTTAACTAAAAAACAAAAAACCACATTTAGGGCCGGCCCGGTGGCTTAGCGGTT